CCATGCTGGCTAGGGAATTCTGGGAGTTGAAGTCCACTCATCTTAAAGTGGCCAAGTTTGGACAACATTGCTGTAATCTATTTTCACATCCTAGGGAATTCTGGGAGTTGAAGTCCACTCATCTTAAAGTGGCCAAGTTTGGACAACATTGCTGTAATCTATTTTCACATCTATCTTGATCTCTGTAATCTGGGGCAACATAAAAAGCAGAATGCTCACATAAATTGGTGTTGTAGCAACAGCTCAATAAACTATGCTTTCCAACTGCCTTTTCTTTCTTTTTATGGGTGCGTGTGTGAGAGTCTCTCTCTCTCACACACACACATGCACACACAATCTCAACTCTCTCCTTCCTCTTTATCAAATAACTGTAAAAGTTCCTCTCCTCCCATCTCAAACTCTGTTCCAAAAATTCACAAGAGAGACTTATCCACTCCCATTTCTCTGGTCAAGGCCCAAATTGTTTTTGTTGCTTTGTTTATAGCTGAAGAAAAAAAATTCAGCCCCTGACTTCCTCTGCAAACAGCAAGCGTCGTTCAGTGAATATCATTCGCTAAGTATTGCCTCACCAAATAAGGTAAGAATTAAGACAAAGAGAAAGACAAAAAATCTTTATGTGGGAATGTTAGACTTGGATTTAGAAGTCAACTGAACACCTGTTTGCTTATTGGCTTTAAGTAGGCCTTGATTTTTAAATGAAATGGGATAGCAATGCAGCAGGAATTTTTTGGGAAACAAATAGTGACTACCAAGAATTTCATATATATTAACCTCAAGCAAGTGCAAATCTACAAAACCTGTGAATACAAAACAGGAGAATTCACTGTGCATAGACCTATCATTCCCTAAGTCCACTGAGGAGAGTTAATTATATGCATGCTTTGCAAGCAGACAGTCCCAAATTCATGTTTGTATATGTAGATTTTCAGAGTCTTATGTTTGTAACCTTGTCTGAATGGCCACCCACTGCTCCTAAACCACACCATTCTAGTAACATCTGCTCTATTAAAGCAAGTTTTATTGAGTTTGAATCTGTTCAGGTAACAGATAGTATGGTATTATTTCAGAAATGCCATTCTACATGGCACCTTCTTAAGGAGACACAGGTACTGTTATTATTAACTTTACTATTAGGTGGCATTTCAACTCCAGGCTTTCTTGCATGGAACTGATAATATGGAGCAGACATCTTTTCTGATCTGGATTCAAGACTGGGTTTAGAAAGAAAGAGCATTTTTCTGGACCTTCATTCTCCTACAATAGCCGGACAACTTTCATCAATACTACTTTATGAGATAATAATGTGATTTTTATCACAGCCATAAATTAATCTAATTGTTGTACACTGCCCAGAGTCACTTTTATGTGAGATGGGCGGCTATATAAATATGATAGATAGATAGATAGATAGATAGATAGATAGATAGATAGATAGATAGATAGA